TTGCCAAACTCACTGTTAGGAAGTTGGCTAGATGTTTCAGAGGAAGTTTGTCAAAATGGAGATGATTCTGTGAAACATGTTGGTTTTGATGAATCAGTGTTTTCTGTGTATTTTATTTTCTGCTGTCCTGTTTCCTTTATAACCTGGTATAGGCAGTGCCTTGGGCACCTGCAGAGCTAGTAACCTGATGGGAATCTGTTCTGCAGTTTTAAGTGTTACTGATATCAATTAAACTTCCCTTAGAGGAAGTTGCAGTAGCAGTAGGTGGGACCAAGGTTTAGTTTTCCACCAATAAGCAAATGTAAAGAAAAAAGAAAGAAACAGTTGGTGAGGAGTTTGGGGTATTTCTCTGGCATAAATGCATTCTAAATATGTAGGAATAGTGCAGTCTTTGATGAGACCTCTGTCAGGGGGTTATCTGCTTTGGAAGAGGAATGGCTTTGATGATCTCAATGGTCTCTTTTATCTTGAGCTTCTCTGGTTTATACGTTTAAATTTATGACTCATCTATGGCAATGACATTAATTCCTGCTAGGTATAGCATGGTCTGGATGGTTTCCCATTTTTCCAGACATTGAAGTATACAATCTTGGGGAATATATAGTCCCTGACTGCTTCATTTGAGCTACTGAGAGGCTTGGAATCTGACTTCTAGTTTCAGCTCTGACACTACATTCTCTCTGTGGCCCTGGTTACATCACTTGAATTCTCAGGTTCAGATTTCTCAATGCTAAAGCGGGCTAGATATTTCTCTCACAGGTGTTTCAACTTGGAATATGTTCTCCTTCCCAAATAGAGGGTGAGAGCCCTGTATTTCCCTATCAAATCACCCAATTTGCCCCTTCTGTCATCTCTCCCTGCATCCCTAATATTGAAGCTGTTTATCTCACAAGTGAGGTGTGTCTCCTCCCAGGGGAGAATCTGCCACTAGCAGAAACTATGGCACAGCTGACCTAATAGACAAATGGCTCCTCAAAGCACTGACTGCAGTGTTGCGTCAAGTAGAGCAGGATCTTAAAAGTACCTGGCACATAGGTGGCCCTATACAAATAACAGCAATACAAGTAAATGCTAATTCCCTACATTGGAAGATTTAAAACCATGGGATTCTTCACCCCCAAAATTGCTACTTTGTGGGAGAATAAGTCCAAATATTAGATCTTTTGAATTTCCCTTAAATAGAAAGTGATTCAGGCAAGCTGCTATGGGGAATGTCAAGGAATGGGTGTGTCTCACCCCTTGATATAGCCCTGATCATTTTTCTTGCAAGCTGAAGGTTTCATGCCATAAGATTATTTTGGCAGCTGCCGGAGAAGCTGCGACCCGCCATTTAATTTCTCCATCCAGGGCAGAAGCAGAAATAAAGAGGGTGCGGCAATATGGGAATGCTGGGAATGTAGACAGCAAATAGGGTAGGCTGGGACTGGGGCAGTTGAGATTCTTGCCGTGAGAATGTCACCTCTTTGCCTCCTGCCTCCCACTTCAGTCTGGCTGTCGCACTGACACTCGCTCACAAGCTCTTCTGGCTGATAGTCCAAGTCTCAAGCTCTCCTATTAATTGATTTGTCTGTTTTGCTTTTTTAGTTAATTTGGAGCTGCAGTTGCCTATTACTTTCCACGCCACTGGCCTGCTCCTGAGAAGTACTAAGTACCCGCAGCACCCAGTGAAAATTATATGAGTTGTAGATGTTCAGCCTCTGAGGATCAGGGCATATGCCCTGGGGAGGCTGGTTGCACAATGGGACATATACATCAGGTAACACTGATACTCCACCCTTCTAAAGTCCCTTTCATCCATTCCATCTTACAAACAATAGCTGTCCAGGCATAGAAGCTCGATACTTAGCTTTTGTGCAAATAATGTTCTGCAAACATTAAGAGAAATGTTACCAAGATTTGTTTAGAACCACCATTGAAATAGTTTTGGGGTCTGGATTTAAACCATTCCTTTCCCCATCTTCAGTCAGGACATTGCAGGATGGCACTACCAGGAGAATCAGACAAGTAAAACTGTCACCAGAGAAACATCAATCAGCTAGTCTGTTAATTTTCCCTGCTGAGAAAAGGAAAACAGTAAACAGACAGCACAACTGCTGAGCTGCAAAATTGATTTTGTTTCCTCATTTTTTAGTAATCCATAGCATTTATGTCCATAGTAACAGATAAGGGCATTTTATCACTCTCTGTGTGTGTGTGTGTGTGTGTGTGTGTGTGTGTGTGTGTGTGTGTGTGTGTGTGTGTGTGTGACATGAGTAACCTGGTATTGGCTCTATAATGATTTTAATCTTTAGTGTTCAAATGGGGAAATCAAGGCAGAAAGCGTGCAAGTGGCTTGCCCAGTGTTGTTATTATTGACAGAATTACTGACTTCCAGTTCCTTGCTCTGACCATTTAAACGCTTTCCCTTTGGAAATCTTCGTAACCCACTGCTCTGGCTTGTTTCTGTACATATTTCAGCTGTTTTTTTACACAAAAACGTTACAGCCGTCTGTTGTTATGGGTCCACCCAAGTAATGTTAGAACAAATATCAGTGCTTGCAAACCAGAAAGAGCAGCCAATCTGCCAAGATCATGCTCCTACACATTAACGGTTACAGATCTCAGGACCTCATACCAAAAGCAGCTTCAGCATCAGTTGAAATAAACAGGGATTGTTCTGACTTTAACAGGCCAGGAAACAAAAGTTAGCCAGACGTCTCAATCAGCAAAAAAATCACAAAGCTTGCAGTGGAGCTGAGGGAGCTGGGAAGAATGTAATAAAGGCAGATTCTCTGCCTTGCCCCACATGTTTCTATGGTCACAAAGGGAAGAAAGGACATAATTGCTGTGAAAATGAGGGCTGTGTAGCCAATTCTGCTCTACCTGGGAACTAGAATGCACAATGATAGTTAGCCATTACTGACCTTAAGAAATTAAACAATGGAACAGGAGTTGGCCAGCGCCAACCAGGGCTGCCTACAGCTCTGAGGAGAACCTGTTAAAGGGTAGAACTAGAGCATTCCATCTCCCTTCCCTTAGTACAAAAGGGCCTCAGCTTTCGTCCTATTACCCAGTTCAATCATCTGTCACTTTCAGTGCAGCTTGGAATTGTCAGTTCAATTACCTTTCAATCAGGAGAGAAACAAAGCAGATCCTGTTATGGGTATAACAATAAAAAAGCAGAACGTGCATTTCTTATGGAACATGTGATATATACGTATTTGTCTGCAAGTACTTATCAAACTAAATATCAATTTGCAATAAATAAATCCCCTGAACCCTATAATAAACATATTTCTCATTTAAAAATAGTATTCCATATTCTTCCCACAGTCAGTCTTTGCTGCTGTTGTTCAAGTCTTGTATGTTCTTTTTCCTTTTTGTAAAGGTTTTGTTTTAGGTAAGAATGAGCTTTTCCCATAAAGAACCCCTTTCCAGTTGCTCTTCCCTCCCCCCTCCGTTTCATTTCTCCCTCGTCATCATCATACAAGCATTAGAAATTTGATTAGTTCCTAGCACCTGACATTAAATACACGGGAGAATGAGTCACAAATGTATGTACAGCGATTAATTCTCTTTTTGTAATTTAAGAACTTTCCCCAAGCACTATTTCCAATTCATTTTAAATTAGTTTGCCTCATTTGCTTCCTAGCGCTGCGCAAATCATTTGATTTAAAATCTCTAACTTCAATGCCTTATTACAGAGCTCAAGCCACACCACACAGCAAAGGAAAGGAGATTTTGCATACTGTACCTGCTTTAAAGGGCTCCTACTCAAATGTTCATGTCTGCACTAAGAGCAGCAACACATTTCTGACCGGGGCTGACTGAAAGGCACATGCAGAGAGGTCAAGTAGTTCCCTTGGAACTGTTGCCTATTGCAAACCATTCAAGAGGCGGAAGGTTACTGCAAATTAAGCTATAGCACTACAAGCACATATGTTGTCATCCCAAGAGGAGACAGCATATCCCTGCACTAAAAGTACTGGGAACATAACATTAAATATTTTCAAACTGTACATATGGGTTTATAGACATTAAATCAACCACCACAGATTCCTGTTATGCACCTTCTTTGCCATGATGGCGTTGAGGCTTGTATGTAGTGAACAAAAGAACAATGATCTGAAAAGAAGCAGCATTTTAGTGAATAGCTTTAGGAGCTTCTCTATGGCTAATCTACAAAGTGCTAGGAACATGTTTGCCCACTCATTTGATATCCTTATACAAATGTTGTAATGCTGTAAACAGCCCAAACTACTATTGCAAACCATTCACTTTAAACCATGACTCCAGATTATGGTAGGTTTTTTTGTTTTTTTAAATAAAGATAAAATTATGAAGGTTGCTGCTTTGAAGCTGAGCCTGACCTACAAATAAATCAGTGCTGGTCTTTGCAGGACTTATCAAATACTCTAAACAACTGGTATAATTTTTGTTTGTTTTGCTTTTAATCAGAAATAATTCTTTATTAGATGTTTTCCTGCTTAGTTGTTTGTTCTGTGCCATGATCCAGAAACGAATGGAGAAATGCTGTTTCAGCACTTCAGTCCTGCTTCTGCAGAAATAAGATTGGGTTAAAAATTCCTGAGAGTTCCTGTCCTTCAGAACATCCCTATAAAGATATTATATTTCTGTAGTGCCTTCCAAATAAAGAATTTAAAAAACTTTGCAGGTTTGATTGGATTAAGCTTCCTAATGTCATGGGAAGATTAGTTAGGCACATCTGGCTGATTGGGACACTGAGGGACAAAGTGGTTAGGGGTGCAACATCCCCATTCCTATCAAAAAAATGCATCTGTGGAAGCAGGGGTGTACTTGGTAGCCGTGTTGATCTGAGATAAAAAGACATACAAAAAACTAGAACTCTTGGTTCCAAAATGATACCTTTTATTAGACCAACTGGAAAATGGCAAGAAAATTGTCCTTTTCTGCAAGCTTTCAGGATCAAAGTCCCTTCATCAGGCTCTGGGAAAAGTGTAGATTGTACAAGATGTCAAAAAGTCCCCATAGGTAGGAAATAAACTTAATATTTGCACAGAGAGAGCTGAAGATGGAAGTCTGTCCCTCTGGGTCCATGAAGCAGGCTCTTTTGGTGATTTCTTCACTATTCACAGTGAATCAGTAAGACTCACTCAAGTCCTTTGCTCAGAATCCACATCAATTTTCATCTTCCTTTGGAAACTATCTACATGCCATAAGCATTAAAAAAGTCAAAGAATTAAAAAAATGCACTTGCAGCATTAAGTGCCACTCATTTTATATTGTTACAGCTCATCTTCCTAAACCTTCCTCCTCTTCTTTTTGCTTGTCATCCCCTGCTGTTATATCTAAATTAGATTATAAACTCACTAGAGATTTATCTTTTTATCTGCCTCTAAAGCACCACAAGCATTTAGTATGCTGCATAAGTATGTTAGAATGCTGATTGCTTTTTCTCCTGTTTGGGCTGCACCAAATTGAACTGGGTAAACAGAACTGAGCAAACTGGGAGTTTGGGGGACCTCATGCTACAGATTTCTAGTTTAGCCAAGTGCCTAAGCAGCCCCCATGGAACTCTTTTAAGCCCTGCAGATTTTTGATCAGCAAGACTGATGCTTTGTACACTTCCAATTTAACTGTACTCCTATGTGAAATGTTTCCTTTAGTGGACTGTCCACTAATAGTTTGATACAGGAAGTTTAAACCATCAGGCCTCAGCAAATCAGGATTCTGCTGTAATAAGTAATCAACCTGGTTTTAGCAATTGATTGGTCCAAGCTAATTAGATTTGTGAACATACCTACCAGCTTTGTCTATAAACAGGATGGGGGATCTGTGGTATCTAAAGAGAGAGGGGATCATGAAGTCTGTGAGAGAGATGTAGAAGCAAGAAGAGTTTGTATGCATTCAAAGCAGCATATATGTATTTCAAATGATGCATAGGGCAAACTTCCTGGAATAAAAGATAGACAAAACCCGTTGTGGTTATTCTCAATCAGGTTACCTCGAGATCCTTTCAAGGATGCTGCAGGGTAGCACACAATGTTAGCACTGTTAGGTGTGGAAACATGATTCACAAGATAAACCCAGATACTTCAAATAGGAGTTCAGTATGTTAAAAAAACATTCTGTCCTGCTTTGAGCCTTCTGAGGTATTTGGAAGAGGAGAATTACTCTAGTATATTTCCACAGTAAAAAAAAATTATTAAAAACTGAGACTGACATTTGCCAAGAGGTGATTCGAGTCTAAAAAGGTTGAGAACTACTGAGGTATTGTTTCTCCCTCTACTCCACCCCTTACTTGCCTGCGAGGAGGTGGGGGCAGCATACACAGGTGCACTTGAACTCCCTTTTATTCCTGTTCCACCCAAAGTTTAAAACCAATGGCCTGGCAGTGGCAGCAGCATTTCTAGTTGGGCAGTGCTGAGGGAGTCACTTGACTTCCTGACTCACTGTCATCTACCTGATCCCTTCTAAAGTCTTCATACCATAGGTGTTAACAACCCTCTCCTTTTCAATGGTATTGATGTTCCACCCATCAAACTCGCCTTTGTGCTGCCATTCTGCTGTCTGTAGCTGCTCCTGGTCATGAAGCTCCTACTTCCCAACTCTGCAGATTGCTTTTTTCAGAAGCGGACTGGCCAAGTTTGCCGATGACACCAAACTCTGGGGTAAAGCGTTCACACCTGAGGACAGGAGGGTGATCCAGGCTGACCTTGACAGGCTCAGGAAATGGGCGGATGCGAACCTGATGGTGTTTAACACGGAAAAATGCAAGGTTCTCCACCTTGGGAGGAAAAACCTGCAGCATCCTTATAGGCTCAGCAGTGCTACATTAGCTAGCACTATGGACAAAAGGGACTTGGGGGTCATGATTGACCACAAGATGAATATGAGCCTGCAGTGTGATACTGCTGCTGGTAAAGCGAGCAAAACGCTGGCTTGCATCCGTAGATGTTTCTCAAGCAAACCCTGGGACGTCATTCTCCCATCGTACTCGGCCTTGGTGAGGCCGCAGGTGGAGTACTGCATCCAGTTTTGGGCTCCACAATTCAAAAAGGATGTGAAGAAGCTTGAGAAGGTGCAGAGGAGAGCCACGCGCATGATCAGAGGTCAGGAAAGCAGACTGTATAATGAGAGGCTGAGCGCCATGATACTCTTCAGCCTGGAAAAGCACAGGCTCAGGGGTGATTTGGTGGCCACCCATAAGTTCATCAGGGGTGCTCATCAGGATCTAGGGGAACATCTGTTCACCAGAGTGCCCCAAGGGAGGACAAGGTCGAACGGTCACAAACTCCTCCACGATCGTTTCAGGCTGGACATAAGGAAGAACTTCTTTACTGTCAGAGCCCCCAAGGTTTGGAATAGCCTGCCGCCGGAGGTGGTTCAAGCACCTACTCTGAACACCCTCAAAAGACATCTGGATATTTATCTTGCTGGGATCCTATGACCCCTGTTGACTTCCTGCCCTGGGGGCAGGGGGCTGGACTTGATGATCTTCCAAGGTACCTTCCAGCCCTAATGTCTATGAAGTCTTTTTAACAAATTCCAAGGAAGTTAGGTTTGCTTTTGCTTCAAGCTTAAACCGAATAATACAGCCCAAGCTCCCTAGTGCAATAGTTCTCAACCTTTTTGGTACCAGGACCCATTTGTAAACATTGACAGCCAGTCCCGATCCAGTGCCCCTCCACCCCCAGGCCTCAGCCCCCCCCAAGGGTGTAGGGCAGGGGGGTCCCCAGGCAGCCCTTTGTAGGCTGCCATCCTGCAAGGGAAAAGCCACGGTTTTCTCCTTGAAAGAAGAATCCATTTTTAGTTTGTCGATCCATTTTTAAAAGTTCGTTCGCGACCCTTTCATATCTTCTTGTGACCCACGGGTTGAGAAATGCTGATCTAGGGCATTAGCAAAGCTTCTAGGTGTATTTTATTCTATGCAAGCCTCACCCTCTGCACCCCTGCCCTGAATTCTAGACCCCCCTCCCCGCCATGCTTATAGGCTTATGTTTCCGAAGAGGTGATGTTTTCCACCCACTTTGTCCTCACGTTCCTTAAACCCACCGGGTTTTATTTCATCTTCTCTGCACCAGTCTCCCCCAGTCCCCTTTCCCAGGCCCTAGCAGCTTGGCGAGGGCTGAATCGTGCTCCCTCGCCCTGCAACAGCCCTTCCCAGCTGCCATGCGTGGCTTCCTAGCTCGTGCAGCCGCAGGGCTGTGCCTCGCCAGGGGCTCAGCAGGTGGCAGCCTTCAGGTCCCGCAGGGGCCGCTGTGGAAAGCCCTGCGGAAAAAGCCCTTTCCCGCCACCGGCAGCAGCCTGGAACCTGGCAAAACTCAACGGCCCGACTGCTTGAAGAAAGGGCGGACATGCAGTTTCACTCCTCGCCCTTTCCTGACCTATCACCGCGCGGTCTGTTTGAGAACCGGCCAATCAGGTGCCGGCTTCTTGCACCGTGCCTGAAGTACCCCCTTGCTTCGTCCCTGGAGGTACTGGAAGGGTGGGGGGGAGGCGCCAGGACCAAAGATGGCGGCGCCGTGGGCGATGGAGTGAGGGGGTCTCGGGGCGTCCTGCGCGGGGGAGGCCGGAGGCGCCGCTCAGGCCGCCGGCGGGGGCAGGCGGATGCTGCTGCGATGGCCGTCCCCAACGCTGCGGGGTGTCAGTAGAGTCGTAGGACTCCAGGAGCTGGGGATTTAATAAATCCGCCCTAAATCCCCAGCTCCAGGAGTTCTGTGATTATGCTTCCACCCCGCTCCGCCCCCAGCCCAGAGAGCGACAAGGAGCCGGAGAGCTCAGCCCTCTCTCAGCACAGTACGACGGTAACTCCTGACGATTTGGGCTCTGCTTCGTGCAGTGGGGTTCACCGGGGCGCCTGTGACTTGCTCCCGCCTCGGCGACGCGTCTCCCCTCCGGCCCACGCGCGAGGGGCGTGGGGCCGTGCTGCGTTCCCATGTTGTGGTGCCGACCTCCGAGCCGGGCTCGCGGCGGGAGCCGCGGGACTGACCGAAAGCACTGCCTGTCTGCTCTGTTGGGGCCAAGGGGACGCTTGTCGCAGACCCACGATGTCTTAGCTGCCTCCGTGGGGTGGAAGATCGTGTCGCTGTGATCCATTGAACACCCAGCTGGATGCTCTGCTGGAGGCTGCGGGATAGGGGCCCGCAGCACGTTTCAAGGCAGGGGCTCGCTTTACTCCTCTGTTGTACATGCTCAGTAAAACAGGGCTGGGTCTCTGTTGGGGTGCCTGGGCTCCAGCACTAAAGAAAATATTTTTTTCCCCCAACAGGAGAAATCCAAGTTATCTGGGAGGAATAAGGGGATACGTAGCCTGGGGACTAGAGTGGTCTTGTCATTTGAGCACAAGAGAAGGGCTGTGTGGAGACAGTCCACCTGACGTGGATGCTGCACCTTATCAACTTGCACTGGGCTGGTTGCGCTGTTGTCCGTTACAATGGTGCGGTTTTATATCACGGACAAAGCTTTCCAGGATTAGCCCCAAGTCTAATCTTCAGCAAGCTTGCCCTAGTCTTCTAAAAAAGCCCTGGGGTTTGGGGCCTGCAGGCCTGGACCCTGCAACAGCAGTTAGGATTTATCACTGCTTCACTCCCTTGCTCACTTGCAGCTTTTATTTATTTAGTTGCAAGCTTTTTTTTTGTATTCTGGCGACTCATTTCCACTCTGCTTTTATTTTTCAGCTTTCCTGTCTTATTTTTCTTCCGAGGCATTTGACCATTCTAATTTCCCAGGCTACATGTTCCTTTTTCCTCCAGGATACTTTTTTCCTCAAAAGGATAAATCCAAGTTATTTTCTTTAGTGTTGGAGCCCAGGCACCCCAAGAGCGATCAAGGCCTGTTTTGTTGAGCATGTACAAATAAGGAGTAAAGCGAGTCCCTGCCTTGAAATGCTTGCAGTCTAAATACCTTAGGGAGCAATGGGGAGGAAGCAGTATAATGTAGTAGCATATGAGGAGATTTTGAAAACGTGATGGAGCCTTTAAATATCTCCTTAAAACACACTTTTCTCCTTAGCACAGAGAGCCTTTAAATAGCTGCCTCATGATCATCTTTGCTAAAACATGAATTCTAAATTAGTTGAGCCTGGGCAATGTTCTTTACAATGAAGAGTGATTGAATCACCCTAGCTCATTCAATCAGCCAAGTAGAGAGAGCAAGCATCCACCTTAGAATTATATTCCGATCACATTTTCTGTAAAATTTGGCAATTTCCCAGGTGTCCTGGTCAACATTGTCTTGTGGTTGAATTGCAGTTGTGTGGTGTATATTGTTCCTGGAGTGTTTTGGGCTGTCCAAGATGGAAGTTTTTCATAAATGAAAAAATAATTAACATTCCTAAACAGCTGCTGACCTACCTTGACTCAAGGTGCCTGCCAAAGAACAGTAGCCTGAGTCTGAGCCACGTGTTGGATTACTGCATCTACTGTGTTCAAAGCAGGACTCTGATGTGTACAAATAGTTGGCATTCTTATTTCTGGATAAAATGGTTTTTGTTCTTTACACTAATGCTTCAGACTTATTTTTAGACAAAATCCAGTAAACATGACAGCGCTTTATAGACAGATAAGCCTGACAGCACCCCTTTGCAAGGCCGTAATATCCACATTCTTACTGATGAGGGAAGTGAGAGCGAGGGAGAGAGGTTAAGTGGCTTGGTTTGGATCACGTAGCAGGTCAATGGCAGAGCTGGGAATGGTACTGAACAGTCGACTTCCGACCTGTATCTAGAGAAATTTACTGATTACTCCTCTATTCTATATGTTTTTGGTGTTGGACGGGCGCATATTACATTCCTAAGCATTGTCATGGACGCTTGTTGCAGCAGTAACAAAATGTTTAAGCCATTGGCTTAACTGGTTCCTGTCAGTCCTTTCTATGTAAGGATTTTGAATGACTGTAATGAGAAATTTGATATTGTTGGTGCTGGTTCTGGAAGACTTCTGGAGAACAAACCCCAGTGACATTGCATTTGTTACATGTCTACAAATATTGCAACGAGTGGTTCTTTGTGCATTTGTTTCTGCACTCTACAAACTTCTTGTTAGGTTGGCACATAGGAGTGTTAGCTGTACTTGTAGCCAGACAAGTAAAAATGAATTGGGTAAAAGAATTGCTGAATACAGCTAACAATTGTTGACTTTTTAAGGTAATTTTAACTGAAATAATTGTTTGGCCTCTGTCACCATAGTACCTGAGTGTTATGTTGAGTGACAGCTATCATTTCTTTGATACTGCGTATTGTTTATATACATTGAAATAATTTAGCATTACACTTGATATTTGTCGGCATTATCCGTATGTATAACTGAGCTCTTGCCACGTGTGGAAGCTGATGGGACTGGAGAACGTTCAATACTTGAGCTCCTCATTATTGCAAATACTACTTCTTTGACTGTAAGTTGGACCAAATAGTAGCACTGTGGGGATGGGACTGGGGTTGAGTAACAGGAGTAGAATAGACAAAGAATCTCTGGAGATTCGCTTCAACTTCTTTCAAATGAGTGAGAATAATAAAAGATTTTGGAAAGGAAAATATTAATCTCCTTGCTTTAAGTCTTAAGTATCTTAGTGAGATGGGAAACAATCATCTTCAGTATAATTTATGGTCATAATTAACATCTTTACTTATTCGTAGCCTTGTGATATCCCTTGCTAGCAAGACTGGCTTTGTTAATCTGAGCCTAATATATGATCTTTCATTCTTGCTTTTAGAAAAACACTCACTTATTACCTAAGCCTCCTATTGATTTTTTTTTTTAATAAGACTACCTCTTATTTATTGGCAGACAAGGTTTTTTGGGTGAATCTGATATCTTATTTATTGAAACATTATACTCCTTGGGTCAGACCTAGCAAGAAGCAGATCTTCAGCCTGTTGAGTTAGATGCCCATTGCTCACAAGAGTCAATAAATCAAATCCCAAGTGACAGTCCAGGTGCTGCAGCAGAACAGTAATCTGTGAAGACAGCCTTACCCAACTGAGAATTTGTTAAAATATAACAAGGATTGACCCTCCCTCTGGGTAATCTGAACATCCACAGTTCCATAATATGCAGTGGTGATGTGAAAAAAAGAAGTGTTGAAAGGAGAGAAATCTTTCTATCTCAGGATATGAACCAAGCTCTAATTGACAGGTATTAGGATGAACTGTAATCTGTGGGCATCTTATTCCATAATTATCCACTTCAGCTTTATTGTACCATCCTCCGAAACAACAGAGACTGGGCTCTGTTGGAGACAGGATACTGGATTAGATTAGATGCACCGCTGTTCTGATGGAGTTTGGCAGCTACCACTTCAGTAAGTAGAATAAAATTAAAAGAACAATCAGAGTATTTTTAACTGTACCAGGCTTGGTCTTAGCCTCGCAGACAAACCCATTATTTGTTTGTGGGCAGACCATTTGCTTGAGACCTTTTGCATACTAGCCCTCTCTCCACAGTCCCTTTCCTGATGCCTGGCTTCCTCTCTAGACTGCCAGCCATCCTCTGACAGTGGTCTGAACTGAAAATGTTGTGCTGAAGGAAGAGGGAAAGGGTCAGAGGTTCATTTTCTACCTCTCTGTAAATGAGAGAGCAGTGATTCTCAACCAGGGTGCCTTGAGATCCTTTCAAAGGTGCCACAGGGTGCCCTCACTATGTTGACCTGTTAGGTATATACACAGTTCACAAGATAAACCCATAGATTTCAAATAGGAATTCGTAGCTTTAAAAGCATTCTTCCCTGTTGTAGTCTTTGAGTTCTTTTCAATAGAAGAACTTCTCTATTAATTTTCTTCTGTCAAAAATAGAAGTGAAAACTAAGCTGGCATTTTCCGAGGGGTGCCTTCAGTCTAACGAGGCTGAAAACCACTGAGAGAGAAAAATACAAGTGCAATGCAAACACCACTGACTTTAACCAGAAAATGTTTTAAAACATACATTAACATGAATTTGAAATGCTTTCTGAGTGCAGCAGTTCCCTCACTGGCTTCAAGGCTGAATGAGTCTGTTCCTGTACTCTCATTTTCTTCCTGTCAGTAGGAAAAGTGAAGCCTCTAGTGAATAAACTGAGGCTGATTCACAGCATGGGATGGTAAACTATTCCTTGATTACCCTTGCTTAGTTTTTTAAATCATAATACCTCTCACACTTACTTAGTAAATTCCTTCAGAGGGTCTTGCCAGCTTTACACTTATTAATGAACTATGTTCCCAGCTTCCTTGCAAAGTAGGTGGATATTTTCCACATTTCTGAATATAGAGACAGAAGGGGTGGCATGCCTGATTTCAGACAGTGAGTTGGTCTCTTTTTCAGGTGGAAATTGGACCCACAAGTCAGGGGTGCTAGTCTCCATCCTCTAATTATCGCATGCAGTTGCTAGGGCTGAACTCAGCTGACAGTGTCCCTTTAAGCACCTTATGAAGCCTGTCTGTCAGCAGATGCACCTGTGTTATAAATGATCAGACAGACGTCAAATACTCTGGAGTAAGACGGCCGGCCGTATGGCGTTGGTAATAGCAAAACAATCAGATCTAATCTAAGCCATTCTTCCAAGTCAGCTGCTTTTCTCTTATTAACTGTTCCCCTGCGTTTCTATTCTAGGTGATAGATCAGACTTCTTTTCTTGTGGGATTTGCTTTTGGCAGCAACAGATATTCAGACTCTTTGGCTCTAGTTTAAACTGGAAATAAGTGATAAATAAAGTGAAAGCATTAATAATTGAACCCTCCAGTGGAAATGCACAGGACAGGTACATTTCTCTGTTTTGTTTGTTTTGTTTCCCTCCCCTGGAAGATTGGCATTTTGGGGAGTACTTGTAGCCTAGCTTTTCCCTGCTGCTTATGTTGTATACATCTCTTTTATTTAAAATTCTGTTGCTGACATTAGTTGTGTTCGGTATAGAATACCACCATGCATTTAAAAAAAATTGGATTACAACATAAATGCCTCAAACCAACGCTGCGAGACTGACTTAGTGTATATTTCTGCCATACTTTAAAATCCTCTGATAGCTGTTAAATAAATGTTACATAGGTTTTTTGGCTTTTTAAAAAAAGATTAGTAATACTAACAGAATATCTTCATTGACACCTTTATAAATTTCCAGAGCAGATGAGACAATGTTTTTGCTTTAAGTGGTTATTATAATATGCTGATTTGAACCCTTTAGAGACTCCAGTTCTGATGTTCAGACAGATGTTTCGAACACCACTTGGCTGATTGCTGGAAACTTATTGGACCTAAAAGTCACTTGTGCTCCCAGGCCTTTTCTGGCTGGGAGGAATGGATTAACAGCGGTGGGAAAGTTTTGTTTTAGACTGGGAAGGGACCAGCCTGCTGGATACTGGATCTGATTTTTGTTCTTCCATATCAAGTGTTTGTGGAAGCCAAAGCTCTGGATACATGCATTAATATAAATCTAAATAAAATGAAAATATCATGAAAAACAGTGCTCTTCCTGTAGGTTAATTACTGGGTAAATGCTGCAGCTGTTCTGCCTGCAGCATTTTTACAGAAATGGCCCTGTGTGAAGATTTACCTTATTGCTGCTGACTGAAGTAATTTATTGAGGGAAATACTCAAGTCTAAAGATGGTAGCTGCACTGGCTGTATTATCTGCTTAAGTGTGCTTAGATCCTGTTTGGATATAGTGCCCTCAGCTCTGAATTCTGCAACCAGTTGGTTACGGAACTTCAGGTAATAGCCTAGGCATTGATGGGCATATTTTTATTGTTTTTTTGGGGGGTGGGGTGGGGGGGGATGGGAGGGTAGAATTGGAAAACTAGGTGGAGGAAATGAGTGACACATGGGGCTCCTGGTATCTGTTTACTACAGCCCCAACTTCAAGCTTCTTTGAAATTGTCTATAGATCAACGATTTGGTTGATCATTTGGACCTGATGATCTGTAAGGTCCCTTCCACTCTAAGAACTATGACATTTCTTCCAGCATAGCACCCACCTCATTGGCTGTAATCCTCCCAGGTGATCTTAATATGTTGACAGCTTGCAGACTTCTCTCCAAACAGAGCGAGTGGTGATAGGGGGACCATGTGAGGCTCCTGACCTGGGTTGCATTGGGGAGACTTGAGGGGTCTGTGAAGAACCCTCAGCAGGGAAGGGGAGAATATGGACAATACTATGATGGAGAGATCAGTGAAGACCCTATAAAATCCCACGGGGGGGATCCTGTTATGGAGGGAAAGGGAGGTTCATATAGAGGGGGAGATGGGGCAGTGGTGTGGGGAGTAGGAATAGAGCTGCTGAGGCGTATCATAGGGTGGGAGCAGAGGGAAGCATGGGTCCCAGGTATGTGCTAACAAGAGTTGCACTGAAGTGGAGGTACAGGCCACATAGGGAGCTTGTGCAGAGTTGAACGGAGGAAAGCAGGAAAGTTCAGATCTGTGCAGTGTGCGTGGCCTGCTGAAGCTCTAAAATGTGAAGCTCCTTAACTCTGTGAAGCCTTATTTGTTAATTGTATCTTGGGATCCCTATGGAGCATACATGTTGCTTTTTCTCAGCTGTTATCACCTATGAATCTAGCAAGCAAATCAGGGCTTTAAGGTCATAGAATACACCTTTGTAAAACAAGGTAGGGGAGTTACATTTTAGATGATTCCAGCACTGATTGTAGCCAGGGAAGTCAGAAGAGATTGTTTCCCACTTACCAGCCTTTATCTTTGCCCTTGGTTTCAGTTATCTAAATAATAAAAACTAACAACTAGCTATGCCTGACAATTTCAGCCTTTATGGAAACTCTTGAAAGAGGAAATCTGCTCTGAAAAGTGAACAGATCTGCATATGGCTTGGGCCAAATGGGCCTGCTTTGCTTTGCCTTAAGCTTTAGGAATTGACTGTTTTCTCCATTTCAATTTGGGATGAGAGCAACATCAAACTGAGTAGGGATTTCCAGTTAGTTCAGACTTCAGGTAGATCATAGTGGCCAAACCCTGTTTAAGCTTTATATGTCCAAAGGCTGCTGCATAGCTGGGTGGATGGAAGTTTAGCACTTGCATAGATTTTAGATTCTCTTTCAAACTATGCGGCTACACTTGCTTCTTTGAGCATGCACAGAAGGCCTCTGTTGTGGAGGCATGTTCTCTGTGGTGGAGCAGACTTGCCTGGGTAGGTGTGTAATTGCGGAGTCAGAGCAAAATCCTGATGAGGAACTCTTTGATTCTGGGCAAAGGCAGCCAAGAGGGGTTTTGAACTTGCATCCCGCCACTTCCCAGCAAACGCAACCTGACCACCAGGCTACGGGTTAGGTATTGTGTGGGGCATGTTGTAGCCCTTCTGCCCTAGTCCTCAGTAGGGGATTTGTTCCACAGCTGTTTATCTACTGTCTGGTAAATACGAGAGGGAGAAAAAGCCATTGAGGCCGAGAATCCAGGGCCCTTGCCTTGTAATGCTGGCATCTACTTCACAAAGCTATGCTTCCTCCATCTTGTTCTCCTCCTGGCCTCCTGTCTTCTGTTCTTGGCTGCCATGTGGGTCGGCTTCAAGAGGAGGGCTGCAGAGGCCTGTGGCTAGCGTTTAGGTGGTTACAGTACTTTGCTGGGAAGTGGAAAATACCGGTTCAGATCCCTTGGTGAAAGAGGTTTACACCCTGGGGTCTTCTGTCCCTGGGCTGGTTCTTGATTGCTGGGTTATGGGGCGAAAGATGGGACACGGGGGGGCTGTCCTCCTTTCTGTTGTTACTTCTGTGTTTTTCTCAGCCATGCCTTCTTGGACCTGCATTCTGCTGCTCGCCTGCCTGGGTGCTCCTCTTCCCCCCGTAGGTGAAAATACAATAGAAAATCTGTGCAAGTGTCAAGACTCACACTTGTGCAACTACATTTGGATGCAGAGTAGCACTTAGATGCATATAGGTAGAATAGGACCTGGCCTGAAGTGGCACCAGTTCCCTTTGTGTGATGATTAACTCATTTATTGACGTACCACTTGAAGTTGTCTTGCAAGTTGTTATTACGCATTATTTAGCCATACTTATTTCTGTTGGTTATGTATTTCCTCTTTCAGACCAGTCTGAGTTATTTCGAACACCAGCAGCGGGTCCCCCTTCCTAACATAACATTATTGATGTTTGTACCGATCATGGAACGATTCTCCTAAATGTACAGGTGGCTGCTTTGAACTCGCAGAAGTGGGGTAGTGTTGCTATCTGAGCAACACTTGTGCTTCAGCTTGGTGTCTGAAAGAGAGCATCACTGCAATGTGGAACAAGACCATCACTTGCACACCTGTCTCGCTTGTGATTTTTTTTCTCAAACAGTACTGGAAAGGGGACCAGAGCAAAGTCACTGTTGCTAGCGTTTTGGGCTGAATCATTAAGGAGATCATTTGGGAGGCTTTTTTGTCCTCCTTTTTTGGCTTTGGCCTCTCAGTACCTGAGTACGCGATTAATAGTCAAGGCTGCAAGTCTTCTATTTGAGCCAATACAAACAAGAATCACAAAGTGTCTCATACTTCTTTCTAAGTTCATGGGATCATAGAAGAGTATGGGTGGAGGGACCTTACAAGGTCATTTAGACCAGCCCCCTGCTCAAGGCAGGATTATCCCTGACAAAAAACCAACCCAGCCAAGTGTCTGTCTAATCTGCTGCATCCAGGGATGGAGATTGCACCATTTCTCTAGATAGCCTGTTCCAGTACTTCACGACCCTTGTAGAAAGTTCTTTCTAATCCTCAACCTAAATTTCCTGTGCTACAGTTTGAGGCCTTTGCTCTTAGTCCTGTCTCTACAGCCACAGAAAAAAGTAATATGTATTTAAAATCTCTCTCCATGATAATCGCCCTTCAGGTATTTGACTGTTACAAATCCCTCCTCAGTCTTCTCTTCAGACTAAATAACCCTACCGCTTTCAGCCTTTCCTCATGAGTCACGTTCCCTAGGACTCTAATAATGTTTGTGTCATTCTCTGCTGGACTCTTTCCAATCTGTCCACATCTTTCTTGAATCGTGGGGCCCAAAACTGGACACAGTACTCTAAGGGAGGCCTCGCCAATGCCAAATAGAGTGGAAGAATCACTTCCCCCGATTTGCAAGCGAAACTCCTGTTGATACAACCCAGTAAACTGTTGGCTTTTTTTGCAACAAGTGCACACTTGGCTCATATTAAGCTTATGGTCCACTGTAACCCTCTGGTCCTTCTCTGCAGTACTCCAGTGTTGCCAATCATTCCCCAGTCTGTATTTGTTGTTGTTTCTCTCTCTTTCTTTTTACTCCATCCCTTCTTCCCTTCCTTTGTGTTGAAGTGATCCCTGATTAAGGGTGCGATATGGCTCTACGTTTTGCCCTAACAGCATAATAAGGTGTACTGGCCTCCTTCCTGCTCTCGGCCTTCATCAGCTTCACTCCAATAACTTTCTCTGATCTTCTCCTTGCATTTGTTAATTGGCCTGGCAGGGCTGACTAAGCTGTTGAAGATCGCTTCATTCCCATGCTGTGTGCATGCCTGTGAGGGTCACAGAACAGAAAACAGGGGCAAAGTCCAGACTGCTGGCTAAATCTGTCGATACTCCAGGCAGAAAGCAGACGGCGAAAAGAACTGCAGGCGGTGGTTGCAGTCTTAAGCACTCCCCACCCTTCCTCCTGAGCAAGTGAACCGAGGACTTGCAGCCTGAAATGCAGGTGTAGCAGACACCTGTCTGGGAGGGAATATTTAGTTGTAATACACAGATCAGCTTGTGGTCCTAGTTAGGCATAGAGGAGAAGTGGTTTTCTAAGGAAACTGAGAATTCCTGTTTTTTCTCAGTGTAATTGGTTACAGCATTTCCCTGGAGAACACTACCATACATGAAGATCACAGAAAACGGGGAGACAGTGAGGTTGGATCTGCAGAGTCCATGTGCTGTGCAAAAGGGGGCTAAGGCATCCTTCAGCTTGCCCCCTCCCTGCAAAGCCCAAGGCAATAGATGAGTCTTGCTGCATATCCTGAAGATCAACATGTTCAGGCCGTGTCAGGCCAAGGGTATGGGGGAAGGTGTTCCAAAGTAGTCTTCTACTCCAACATTGTTAATTCCAGACTTGCTAAAATGACACTTGCTAGCCTGTTTCCTAGTGATCTGGGCCTTTTCTTAGGCTTCTGGTCTGCTTAATGGAGGGCTAGGTTTGAGCTCAGCCCTGTAGCTTAGCTTTGTCAAAGAGGATGTGTTGTTTCAGCAAATGGAAGAGTAATTACTGCAGGCTCCATTAGAGATTAGCTGGACAGAGCCCCAGCTAGATAAAAATAGCAAGACAAATGGCTGCTGGTGACATCCCGGTCTGATCACACGTTCGCTGGCTGGCATTTCAGCCTGGCGTCTTCAGAGCACCTGGTGGAATCCAGTTCCTTGCTAGGGGCAGAATTTGTCAGCTCCCCTGGATGCATGCCAGCATGTGTCACGGCTGCTGCATTCATCTTCTTATGCTCTACAGAGAGCTTAATTCATCCAGGGCTGCTAGCTCTTTTGGAAGTTAAATCGATGGATCCTACCTGGT